AGCTGTGATGTCCAAGTGTTTGAAGACAGGCATCTAAAAAATGCTTTTAAAGTTGCCAGTTCTAAAAAATTTTCTCTGACTGAAAAAAGCCCCACCTCAAACCCCAAAGATACACTTCATAATATTCTCTTCTACCAAAATGTTGTTCCAAATCTCTCTTTAGTGGACTAGAATAGTTCTGTATAGAACTTGAGCATTTTTGATGAATTTTATTTCAGGTCATTAAAACTGGGACACTACATTTCTTGAGAAATTGTATTTAATTTGCACATGGCTAAACACTTTTTAAAGACCCCTCTATAGACTTTGGGAAAATTCTAGCTAATATAATAAAATAAACTCTATTAAGTATTCAATAGTTAGATAACTTGAGCAAAAATAGATAGTAGCCTAAGGAGGGAGTTTGTCAGTGAGGGTTTTGTTTGGTTTTTATGCTGCAATTGATGCTTGGTTGCTTAAAACTTGTGCCATTATTTTGCTATAAGGAACACCTCTCAAGTAAAACCCATTTTTTGTTAACTGTGGAGCACTGATTTGGAGCCCGTTTCTGTAAATACTTTGATTTGGTTTCCCCAAGGTCACACTTGATAAACACCGATGCTTTTGTAAAGAATTTACCCAAATGCTTTTCAAGGAGTTTCTGAACATAGGGCTTTTTGGTGGCCATGTCAATAGTTCTGGCTTTGGTACTTGCTCTGCCATCACCAGATGGGATTTGTACTGCAGATCTAGTGGGTGGATTAGTTTATGTGGAAGACAGCCACACAGGAAAATCTCTGCAACTGTAAACAGAGAAGAGAAAATTTCTCTTGGAACAATGATTGTTCGTTGCAGGACTAGACCCCAGTTCCCTGCATAATACTACTGGGGGTTTTGATAAGTTGATTTTGAAAAGGCCTCAAACTGCTGCCTACATGTTTATTTTTTAAATGTTACTGAGCTTGAGATACAGGTGCACATTTGCCTCATCAGGGCATTTTGGCTACTCTGGAAGTGTGCGTAGTGTTTCAATTTATTTTATTCAACAATGGCTTTTGGAAAATGCTGAAAAATCAATGGGACTATATTTCTGTCCTGGAACAGGTCATGGAATGAAGCCAAAATTGAATACTGTTAGTTAGAGAAAATATCTCTGCAACCAAAGTAGTAGTAAATTTCCCAGATAAATGCAAATATCTTACTTCTGGAACATTAGCATAATTCTGACAGTGGGTGGAATAATTTTTATACATAGTAAGTTTTTCCTTATAATTCTGGTTATCCTTACAGATAAGGATATAAAGCATTTGGAAAAAGATTTTCTCCTGGTTGGAGCCTATAGTACTTGTAATGAAAAATACTTGTCTTGTATTTAATGTCTTGCATAAGTGCGGTTGTGTTTTAAAACTGATGGTTAAGTAAATATGTTGCCAAATACATTTTTCTACCAAGAATTCTTTTGTCCTCAAGGGATGTTTTGTGATAATAAGGGTCTTCCTAAGGATATGAAGTTTGACTTGGGAAAGCATTGTATATACTACGATTCAACATATATTCTGGGTTCAGAAAGCATGACTTTGCTCCCACATTGTTTGGTTTCTAGGCTCCTATTCTGAATATTTTGTGAGGAAATTGTGATTGGGGGGCATAGGAAATACTCCCAATATATTTCAAGAATTTAAAATTCTCAAGTGTTCATGCAAACTTCACAGGAGGATTTTACCACTGAGCTCAGGGACCTGGGATTCCTGAAGGCAGGTTCTACCAGTAAAGCCTGAGGTGAAAAAGGCATTGAGAAGGCCTTTTCTGCATCCTAATTGCCAGATACCCTACCCATTCAGCAGTGAGCCCACATTTTGCATAGTGTTCCTGTTGCTGGTGATGTATTTCAGGAAGCCTTTCCCGTTGCCCTTCATGTTCTTTGCCAGATTCAACTTCAGGTGGATTTTGGCTTTCTTAAGCGTATCCTGCCATGCTTGAACAGTGTCACTGTATTTCTGTAAGGTCACCTATGCCTGCTTCCACCTCCTTTATGCCTCCTATTAATATTTGAATTTAGTCAGGAGCTCCTTGTGTATCCATAGAGGCCTCCTACTACGTTTGATTTTCAAGGTCATTCTCCAGGATCACCTCCAAGGTCAAGAGTGGTCCATCCTGATGTGCAGGAATTTGAACAACGTCAGCAGAAGGCTTACTTTACAAGTGTTCTTTCATCTGTTTCTGCTAATGTGGTCTTTAGGTAAAGGCTTTAGCACTTTGTCACCTGATTTCCCTTTTGAAGAAATTTAGGCAACACCCACACCAGTACCTTTCCAGTAGTTCTACGGGAATGGCATCTCCTAACACAATACGATGACAGATGCAGTTGCTGAGAGGGAAGTAAGCTCATCTCCTGAAATAGTTGGGTCTGGCAGAAGATACCTTTCAGCAGCTGGAATTGATTATGTTTGACTTCTGCACTTATGGACTCCATTTTGCTTTTCAAAGTAAAGGCTTGTGTGTACTTGCTGTGTTTGTTCAGACTGAAGAAAAGAAAACTAAGGGAGTTCCAGCTGCTGCCATGAGCTGTCAAATGGGTGCTTATGGAGAAGATGGAGCTACACTCTCCTTAGAACTGTGCAGTGGAAGTATGAGAGAAAACAGAAGTTTTAGAAAGGGAAATTCTAATTACCTCTAAGGGGAAAACCCCCAAAACTTCATAGTGAGGATTGTGAGATACTGGAGTGGGTTGCCTGGAGCAGTTGTTGAGACTTCAGCCTTGAGGATACTCAAAACTTGACAAGGCTCTGAGCAACCTAACCTGCACGCCATGGCCCTGCTTTGAGTGGGGAGTGGGACAAGATGACCTCTAGAGATCCTGTCAGTTTAAATTATTCCATGATTTTATGACTCTACACATTCTTATTAGGCACATATCAGTGAGACATAAGAAATTACATAGATATGTTCAGACCCTTTTGGATTCTTAACCTGTGCCTAGATTTCCAGCGCTGTAGTTTACAGTATTTTTCTTCCATTTTTCATAATAGGGATGGTGATTAAAAATGCGAGTTAGAGAGATACTAAATATTTTGCAGCTGAAGTGTAAAAAAACCTGGGTAATCTAAGGAATTTCCTTCTGCTCTTTATTGCTGTTGAAAAAGAGACTGAAATTGGCTTAGTGAGTGTAGATGCAGTTAACAAATAAAGCACAGAGAAGTGGCGAAGGCCGAATAGATTGGAATATATGGACTATATTGTGATACATTAACTAAACCAGATGAAAAAATTGGATGCAGAGATTGAAAAAAAGATAAGTCTCACATTTGACTTTTCCACAGGAAAAGGTTTTTCTGGGAAGACTTAGTCTGACCTTGTCTGTGCTGGACTGGTTTATGTAAGAAGAGTATTTATTTTATTGTGATGCTGATCATAGTGTTATATTTTCTTATTTGCAATATGTGAGGTCTTTGAGATTATATCAGTACATGAGAGTAAATTATTTTAATGTGTTTGCATCCCATAAAATATTTTTACTGGCACTCAGCAATTACAACCTCTATTTATACAGATAATTTTATGGAGTAAGAATTAAAACTTAATTATTTTTGAATATATGGAAGTGGTTTGGAAATTCTTTATGTGATACAAACTCTCACACAAGGAAGGCGTGTAAATGCTACAGGGGACCTAACATTGAAATACACATATGAATAATATATTAGTTGATATACAGTACATATAATTAAAATTGAAAGAGTAAAGCAAATTTATAAAATATTTAAACCGAATGGTAAAGAACACTGCAGAGAATTAAATGCATTTCTTGGCTTTTTAGCCTGACAGTTATATGCTACCAGTATGTAGCAGTTTTCCTGAGGAGGATGTGTCCCCCACTTGAGAAATGGTCTGGATCCTTACACATGCAGTAAAGCATAACTAAAGCAATAGTTTGTAGATATGATACAAAACAATAGGCTTCTTCTAAGTACAGAAAGGGTAGCCTTCCATCATCAAGTAGAAATGGAAATTATTCAAATAGGTGTTAGAATTTAGAATAAAAATGCATTGAGTAATTAAAAGTAAGGGGACATCTTTGAATATAACCTTTGTCATAAGAAAATTGTGAAGTTGTTTAAATCTAGTTTCCTCTTGATTTGAGGAGGAGGGGTGGTTTGTGGGTTTTTTGTAGTTTTCTGAACTGCTGAAATGTATTACTTTTGTCAGTTAGATGCTAATATTCTACATTTCTTTGAGAAGTCAAAACTATGTATGTCTAAGAGGACCTTGCTCTTGACTGGAATTATGGATGCGTGTCTTTGAAATTTGCAAGTTTTAATATCGGATATAAATCGAAGAAATATATTGTAGTGATTAAAAAATCTGCTGTAATACCTTTCTGCCCTCAGAATAAAGCCCGTGCCTTGATTTGCACAATAGGCTGCACTTAGTGAACAGCTTGCTTTAAGAAAATTCAGTGGTAGGAGCTGAAGGGCTCTGCTGCTTTATACTCCATGCATAAGGAGGAGTTTTTGATATTAAAGAAATCATTATTGAGCATGGAAGATACTAACAATTAAAGTAGGCAGGTTTGCAATGAGAGTACGTGTGGGATTTGACTAACTGCCAAATCATGAATTTCTAGCCTGTCTGCCAGTAGTTTGGTGTCTTTCTGGATGCCCTTGTAGGGTTTAACAATAGAGTTCATTGCTTGCGTAGATGGGCAGGAGTTAATTAATGTTCATTAAGATGTTTTTAAAGCAGAAGAAGACGACTAGGTTTTTAGTACAACCATTTTTTCTTTTTCTTTTGACTACCTGAAACCTTTAGTTCTTTTAAGTGTGTTTCAGTGTTTTGTGTCACTTATTTGTGATGTCATGTTAGGTCTCTTGGCTCAAGAGAAAGAGTGATAAAAAACATAGCAGGAATTTAAATTTAAAGGGGAACAAAAATACCATTGTGATCAGTATTTCTTCTGTTTACTATTTTAACATTTTTTTTTTCCCCTCTCTTGTGTTGTCTGTATCTCCTGTCAAATAAAGGCCAAGAAACACCAGATCTTTCTAACAGAGACGTATGAAAACAACATGAGAGAGCTGGAGTTACTCTTGGACAGCTTTGCTATGTCAGGCCAGCGGACAGCAGGTTAGTTGAAGGTATAAAATGACAGATGCATCTGTCAATGTTCCAAAGTCACTACATTGTGGGAATTCTGCAGATGCCTCTTGCATTCCCTCTTCTC